TATATATATATATATCGGATCGGTTATTAATTGTAAAAGGTTAGTGGGCACATTTTCTTGTTTCAGTATACTTACGACTTTAATTAGTTTTATACTGTCAAATGCTTTGCTTACGTCCGCAAAACATAGGAGAGCTGGTTTATTATATTCTAGAGCTTTTTCCACGATTTGTCAGATGATAAAAATTGCGGCAGTGCATGATATGCCGCGTCTAAAACCCTGTTGTTCCCCTGTCTTCCCATTCTATCATATTCACAAGGGTGTTTACTATAAAATTCGTGAGAATTTTCAATGAGCTTTTTAAGAGGTCTATACCTCGGTAATTATCTGGATCGTGTTTGTCTCCTTTCTTAAATAGAGGGATAAGAATGATTCATTTATATTCCTTTGTTATTGTTGCATCTTTAACAATTTTATTAATAATTTTGGTTATCTCTCTGCATAAGATTTTTCCTCCATATTTAATGAGCTCGTTATATATTCTGTCTTCTCCAGGTGACTTCCAATTCCGTAGTGTTCCGATTACTTTTGATATTTCTACACATTTTACGCACTGTTCCTTTGATGTAAAATCTTCAACCAAGTCTTTTATCTCCGGTGTGTCATCGTGGAGTAGTTCTCTAAAGTATTTTATCCATGTTTCATCAGATACTTTATATGTGCTAATAAGTTCAATTATTTCTGCCCTCTGGCCTCTAATGAATCTCGAAATATATTTTTGTCGCCCATAGAAACTGCAAGCAGGAACTGAAAGTTGGTTGGTTCCCGCCTGTTTTTTTGTAGTAATTTTGGAAGGTCAAATATTATAGTGGTTTAGATTCGAACTCATTAATTTAATGGAGGTCATTTACATGCTGTATCAGTATGAGCTGTGTATTCTATCGCACCTATTATGTGTTTTATTGTCAAGAAGTGAGAATATCTTGAATTCAACTTTAATATTCACTTGAATATTTGCTTGTTTTGTTTCAGTGATTCTAACATATTGGCCTCTGAAGTTACAGTAAGAGACTAAAGGGAACAAAAGGCTTTAAATACCAGGTACAGTGTCAAATTATTTTCCTCAATTACGTTAAATATCTATTTTAAAGGAGAATTGTAAACTTGCATAACATTTGCAAGAGCTTTGGGGAACAATACCTTCGCAGTGTCGCCGCACACACAAAGGCAGACCAGCTCTACTTTACAGAAACTAGTATGGTTGAAGCAACCTTTTCCTCATATAAAGTTTAAATTAGTATATTTTATTATTTTCTTATATTAAAAACACACACAAGATTATCTTTTCACTTCCCCTTGTAAGAAGGTTGTATATTTTATTACGTCATAGAAATCTTGAATCAACTTATAGACGGGTAGTCGCTTCCTGGCATTCGCACTGAGTGAAAATCAACACACAAGTATGATTTGACAAATTCATTAGTTGGTTTAACAACAAATTTTATAAAACACAGAATATTTTATAAACCTATTTCTGCGTAGTTTCAATGCGCAAAATGTTATTTTCAAGAGAAATGAAAATCTATTTCGCTAAGTGTTAGTCTCTACACAAATAATGTATAGAAATTAATTTGTTATCATTTTGTTTGTCGACTATAAATGTTGAATATTGCATTTTTTAAATTGTTGAGGTACGGTGAAAATAGTGGAAATTGTATTTAAAGCTTCCAATTGTCTGGATTACCGAATGGAGATAATTACATTGTAACTCTTTTCTTTTAGAGAACAGCAAATGTTGGTCCAGGGCAAAAATAATTCCGAAAATTCGAAAAACGTGTCTGCTTTCAAAACTGCACAGACCTTTAATATCTTGTGTTCCAGACTTTAACATTCTTCTATTGCTTATCATTACATTGTTGAATATGTGAGTTAGCGTTGGATAAAAACAATGTTAAACAAATAATCCAAAAATTCTTATAATCTGGACAAATATTTCCCATTTAGTCTACCGATTATTTTGAGAATTTCATTGAAAGACGTTTCAGAAAAAAAGCAGTTTTTCGAAATATCTTTGCGAAACGTCCGATGATGTTACTTTTAGCGGCTTAATTAACTTTCGTGACATCAACCGCGAATCTTGAAAAGCATTGGTTGAAGCAATCAGTCCCTGTGTGCGGAACGTTCACCAATCCACCATACTTAAAAATAAACATCATTTTTTGGGCTTTTAACATCGTTCAATTCGCTAATGTTAACACTAATCCTGTTGCCCTCAGTTTAACTCTTAGCCATTTTTCTCCCTGGGGCACTTCCCCCAGTTTCCCCCTACCGTCACGCAGTACTACCCGCACCTTCTTGCCAATGACGTTCGTGCCATGGCGACATTTGGAACATTTTGCCTTTTAAGGATGTACGGCGACAGAAAGATGACGTACACGCCGCGATCCTTTTAAAGTCCCTACCTCGGCCTGTCATCTGGCTGACACGCATTGCCCACTCGTACATCTGTTTTTGCCAGAGCAAGGGTATATTTTGTGAAATTACGAGAGTGTATAAACCTTTGATCAGGTGTTAGATACGAAGGAATGAAACTTATATTATAATTCGTTAATAAAGGGTTTGGAGATTCATCTTTTTATCATGTACGTATATTAATTTAAAACGCGGTGAATGGGATTTTCATTGAAACTTTGGTAGGTGTTCTTTACCAAAGAACATGATGTAAACTTGCTAAATATAATGATTTGAATTTACTAAGCTGCGGTAATATCACACTTATGAGCTTGTGTTTCTTAATAAGTTTCACAACATTTATTGCTAATATTTACAATGATTCATTTAATACTAATTTTGAAAAGCATACCTGAAAAAGTTTGGAATTAAATTAAACACAGGTTACAATGAGACAATTTATTTAAAACAAGATTGTCTGCTTATGTGTAATATTGTTCATGTAATAAAAAGCTGATGCATATTCACGTATGAAATGTTGGCAATTTATAGTATGAGAATTACTGGAATACGAGGAGTAACTAAGGTTGCAACTCTTCAGTTCTACTCGACAGAACGAATAGCTATTCTTTGTTTGCTCTTTCCATCATCCGTACTGGACTCTTGCACGTCGTATATTTTATTGACAAGTAATCACAGTGACCTACTAAAGAAAACAAATGTCATAAATATGGCTACAATTTCGTGTGATGGATTGCTTCCTCGCAAAATGTCAAATGCCCGCCAGCGATACGAAATGATTGCATTCCTAGTAAAAGAATATTAACCTTGCAGCAACAATCAATAGAACAAATGAAAAAAAAAGAGAGACTTCGCATTAACATTTGCACAACGAACCTGCGAATGTGAAATACTGAACAGTCCGCAGACTTCGGGAAATAATTTTGGCGGCTCAGCTACAATTAAATTTATCCTGTCAGTGCTGTGAAGCCCTAGTGGCAGCGGAAGAGGAGAACAATGTTTTGTGGTATTCCGCATGTCGGAAGGGGGGGGGGAGGAATCTGGTGCGATCTTGTGGAAACGAACGGGAGACACGTGTTTGTAAGCACGGCCGCGTCTGCCGGAAAGTCAGAAACGGTCCATCCGCTGGAGAATCGCGGTTGAGTTGAGAGCAGCGCTGCTAGTGGGCCGTACGCTGTGCTTTAGCTGCCGCGCGGTAGTGGATGACAGACAAGGCAGACTTGTTACGTTATTGTAAGCTAAATTCCAGTTAGGCTGCGTAAAAAGGGTTTGGTTGAAGAGTTTTTAAATTGTTCGATCCAAAGTTAATGAAGTAAAAAATATGGTGGCTCTTCAAAATATTGTTATATTAGTAATTAATATTTCTCTGTTAGTAGATAATATTTAGCCGTGTATA